GAAGGAGAGAAGAAGAAAACAACTATGGTGACTCCACAATTCTGCGATTGGCGTAGTGGGGAAGGAGGCGCCGTCTAAACAGTTCCCTGATTGGGACCTATTTTGGTTCCAGTCGGGGTACAGTTTTTGGTCCAACTTTCTCCAAATTGAAATCTATTTGCACCGTTGCGATCAGACAGTCGAGCTCTATCCAACGATATACTTTTCATAATTATTTGTAATACTTTTTCCGACATCATATTTTTGGGTGGTTGACTTTGACAGAGTCAAAATTGATTTGTTTGACCTTTACTATAAAAGGTGTTATATTCAATTCATATTATTTACTCTCATGATTTATTTCAATAAACCATTTCAAAGTAAACAATTTCTTCATTTATTCTTAATTTGGGTCTGTACTCAGGTTCCCAACCAAGATTACCCAATTAGTCAACATATTGGATTTATCTTTTTGAGACTTATCCTGATTTATGATATGTGATATCAAAACATATTTTTATCGGCCCAAAGCCCATAACAATTTATTTTAATCAAAACAATTTTGATTTATTCTAATAATTATCTATTAATAATTCTAAGGTATATTTTGGGGCGTTACAATAACTGTCATGTTTTCTTTGATGATCATTTGTGTGATACAGGACCGCACTACGAAGACGCGGATTGGACAATGTGAAGCACGCAACGGAGTTTATGTCTTTCCATCTCAAGCCCAGGCCTTCAAAGCCGAGTCCATATCTTTTCCTCCGTTTAATAAGAGCCATACTGAAATTAAAATTTTTCAGTCTTGTGATATTGTTTCTTCTCTAAACAGACTCGCTCTCCTTTTACACCCAGTATTAATAAAGCTGAACAATTGTTTGATTTAATTCATTGTGATTTGTGGGGACCATATTCTCCATGTATTTCTACTGGGTCACATTATTTCCTTACTATTGTGGATGATTTTTCTAGAGCTGTTTGGGTTTTCCTCCTCATTGAGAAAAGTGAGGTTACTAGTTGCTTGAAACAATTTTTTACTCTCATAAACACTCAGTTTCATAAAATCATAAAAGTTGTTCGTTCTGACAAATGGAACTGAGTTCCTCAACCGGCCTCTTCGTGAATTCTATACAAGTAAAGGGGTTCTTGTTCAAACTTCATGTGTCAATACACCATAGCAAAACGGTCGGGTTGAGCGTAAACATCGCCACATTCTTAATGTTGCTCGTTCTTTAATGTTTCAGGCTTCTTTACCTCTTGAGTTTTGGGGGGGAATGTGTTCGCACCGCTGTTTATCTCATTAACCGCACACCTACTCCACTGTTACAAGGTAAATCTCCTTTCGAAATTCTTTTTTCAAAACCTCCAGGCTTGTCTCACCTCTGGGTTTTTGGGTGTCTCTGCTTTGTCCGTAATATTCAACGCCCACCAAACAAATTCCACCCTCGTAGTGTAAAGTGCATATTTGTGGGATACCCTACGGGAACTAAAGGTTGGCAGGTTTATGATCTTGAGTCGCATCGTTTCTTTCATACCCGAGACATCTCATTTGACGAATTTGTCTTCCCGTTTGCAATTCCTAAAACCTCACCGTCCAAGAACCGCCCATCCTCGTCCCATGTCCACGCTAATTTCCCCAGCCCCCCTCTCCAGCCGACTGTTCCCGCGACATCTCCCAGCGGCGGCAGTCCGGCATCTTCTAGTAGCAGCGACGAGGGCTCCGACGATGACAGCCCCGTCAGCTCCCCGTCACCGTCACCCCCACTTCCAGTTCGTCAACATTACCCCCCTCCTCACCTTGTCGATTACTATTGTCATACCGTTCAGACATTGGCTCCGGTTGCTCCTTCCGTTGCCTCTTCTCGTTCTTCAGGTACTCGGTATCCTATCCATAATTTTGTTCATTATGAGAAATTTCATGACAGGCATCGTGGTTTTTTGGCGGCTATGACTTCCCATGAGGTTCCAAAGAATTTCAAGGAGGCCATGCAACATGCTAATTGGCGTGTAGCTATGCAGCAGGAGATTGACGCATTGGAAAACAATCATACTTGGGACATCACAGATCTTCCTCCTGATCGTACTGCTTTGGGGTGTCAATGGGTTTATCGAACTAAGTTCCGGTCTGACGGTACTAAAGAGCGGGATAAGGCACGCCTTGTGGTCTTGGGGAATCACCAGGAATTTGGTACAGATTATACTGATACTTTTGCTCATGTTGCTAAAATGGGTACTGTTCGTATTTTGTTATCTGTAGCTGTGGCTCGAAATTGGGAGGTTCATCAGCTTGATGTTAATAATGCTTTTCTGAACGGAGATCTTATTGAGGAGGTCTATATGCGGCTACCACCGAGGTGTTCTATTCCTGGCAAAGTGTGTCGACTCCGGAAATCTTGGTATGGATTGCGTCAATCTCCTCGGAATTGGTTTCATAAGCTGAGCTCTGCACTCCGCGATTGGGGGTTCAAGCAAGCTAATAAGGACCACACTTTATTTATTTTACGCCGTGGTCCTGATATTCTCTCTGTTTTGGTTTATGTTGATGATATCTTGGTCGCAGGCAATAATTCGTCGTTGTGTTCCTCTTTTAAGCGCTACTTGGACCGATGTTTTCAGCTTAAAGACTTGGGTCCTGTGAAATATTTCTTGGGAATTGAATGTGCGAGGTCTCCGTCGGGCATGGTTCTTTGTCAATGCAAATATGCCATGGAGATTTTACAAGAGGCCAGGCTATTGGGATGCAAGCCGGCAGGCACTCCCATGCCGACGGCGCACGGCCTAGCCACCTCGGCAGCTCCTCTCCTTCATGATCCTGCACGATATTGTGGTCTCGTTGGTCGCTTGATTTATCTTACTATCACTCGTCCGGAAATTTGTCATTCTGTTCATGTTTTGTCCCAGTTTATGCATGCACCCACTCTTGATCACATGAATGCTGCTTTGCGTGTTCTGCGTTATATCAAAGGCCATCCGGGTCAGGGAATTTTTCTGAGTGCCACTAGTAATCTTCATATTACCACTTATTGTGACTATGACTGGGCTAGTTGCCCTCTTTGTCCTCTCGTTGGTGGCTGACATTTTTACTAAACCATTACCCAAACCTATTTTTGATTTCTTTTTATTCAAGTTGGGAATTCGGGATCTTCATGCTCCAACTTGAGGGGGAGTGTTAGCAGATATTTGTAATTAAGCGTAGATATCGTGTTATTGGGCCTGTACTTGTAGCCCGTTTATGTACTTGTATATATATCGGTTTATGATTAATGGAAAACAGTTCAGTTGCGCTAAACTTTTCTACATAAACTGATTGGAGAACAGAGAACCAACTGATAACAACAAGACAACAAGATGAATGCACCTAATGCCAAGGGGAACATGAAGGGTATCCATAAAAGCAGCAGGAAATCTCTCAAAAAGTTTTTGAACAACATCCAAAGATCGAATCTGAAAATCAAAATGTCAATACTGAGTTTTGAAGATAAAAATAAGGATATTGACTAACAAAACACTACAATCATTTTAGTGATAAAATGCATGCCTCTCCAAGACGTTCCTTTGCTCCCAATAGGAATCCACAGATAGAAGATATAATAGTGTAAAATAGATGAGTATCTAGGAGGTAGATCTGGATAACAAGTAACAAAGGAACTCGTTGAAAATGAGAAGACCTTTAATAAAGATTAAAGAACCATATGCTCCTATAATTACCAATAGAAATTTCTTATATACAGTGATGGCACATATAATCCTATAAATGGCATGTGTTAAAATAAAATAATAATCTACTTAAGAAAAGATAAATGTTCCAATTACGAAAAGAACTGGAGAAGATTGTGTTCAGCATGTCTGGTTAAAGGTTCATTTAAAAGAAGTGTGTCTTCTAGTTAAGGTATGATGCATAGTCATTGATGCTAAAGTGGCATTTTGGAATGTTAGAATAAAGGCCCAACGCTAGAGGGGGGGTGAATAGCGTTTAAAACAAAATCGCAGGAAATTAAAACGAGAGCGTTAAAGTAAAGAGCGTAAGGAAGGAACACACCAGATTTTATCCTGGTTCACCACAACGTGTGGCTAATCCAGCCCCCCGAGAGACTCTCTCGAGCTACACTAACTCCGTTAAGCTTAAGGGTGCTTAACAAATCGATACAACTTGAGAACCCGAGTCACACGAGCCTCAACAACTTTGCTCGGAGATACCGCACTCCAAGACTTCTCACGAAGGAACAAGGAACTTCCTTCGAGTTTACAACAAGGGAACAACCTCCCTTAAAGTGTATGAAAACACTTAAACACTCAGGAATAAAACTCTCACAAAGAGTAGATATGAGTGAACTAGTAAACGCTCAAGAACACAACAATTTCTTCATGAATTGGCTCTCAAATAGCTAAGAAAAAATAGGAATGCTTATGCAATGAAAGAGTATTGAAATGTTGAAGAATTGTGTTTTAAATGAGAGGATTTGGGTGCCATTTTATAGCCCAAAATGGGATAAACCCGTTGCTAGAATTTCCAACAGGATGAAGACAAATTTTTCAGGGACACAGGCTGATAGTCGATTAACAAAGCTTGATAATCGATTATCCAAAGATTCCCTGTCCAAAAATTTAAAATTCTATCCGTTGGAGGACAACGGTAACCCAGATAATCGATTGTCAACAAGTGATGATCGATTATTGGTCCTCTCAAAAGATTTTGGGTTTTGGCTGCAAAGGCTGATAATCGATTATTCCATAAGTGATAACCGATTATGGCGTGCTTCAGAACTTTGGGAGTTCAAAGCTGCAGGGGCTGATAGTCGATTGTCACTAAGGTGATAATCGATTATCACCCAGCTAAAGCCTATCCAGCTGAAACCCGTTTTGAAAAACCGAGGTCCAAAAACGAAGTGTTCCCAAAAGTAAAAACCGGGTTTGGAAAATATTGTATACGGTATAAAATAGTGAAAACAAGACTTGTTTGGTAAAAACCAAATCTCCAAGGTCGTATAATACGTGCGTACGGTTTAGACCGTTTTTCACGTGTTAGACCGATTGACCAAGATACAAAAGTGGTTTTTATAAAATAATTATTTGGGAACATTTTAAAAATGCTCAGAGGTAAAAACAGGGTTTAAAATATTGAAAACCACGGAGTTGGTTCGGGCTCCAAAAACCGAACACCGAAAGCCGAACGTCGAAAGCCGAAAGCGGACTTAGGTGGTTTCGGTTCTGAGCAAGGACCAGGGGTTTTAATAATAAAAGAAATCATCAAAAATGTTTGTTTTGATGCACAAAAAATATTTTATGATTTGTAAAAATTGTTTTGACTTTTTGAGAACCGAGACTTGAATTTATTGTCGGTTTTGATCACAAAAGACCGACTCGACTAAGTCTTCAATTCTTGATCTTGTCCTTGAGTCTTTTAGGTCTTGTTCCAAGCCATT